AGCTGAAGGTTTCAAGCGTGGGAAAATGAAGGACACAGCTTCCCTGAATCGTTGTTTTCACTATTACTACAACTTACAGGATGTTTGTTTATGCCACAAATTAATTCCTCCTTGCCTCTCTGTCTTCTGCACACAGTTTCAGCCTGAGGGAGGAAAGTTGATGGTGAACAGTTTCTCTGACCCCATTGGCCTCATCTGTCCACCTACGGTAGGACCGTGTTGTTACTACACCAGAGCACCACGTTACCTTTGTCTTTACCTTGAAAGGTTTCAGGCATTATTTAATTAAACAGCTAAACAACCAACTTACCTTCTTTCTTAATAATCTGCTGTCTGAGGAAAAATAGACTAGAACTAGCTGCATTTTTCAAAAGATGTTGTTGGTTTTTATGGTAATTTCATGCCTTTGAGGGGATAAAGTGATTCTACAAATTTTAGCACAGAATGTCATGAAAATAATCTTGCTGAGGTTTGAAACTTTATTCAAATAGATAATCAGTCCGAGTTTAGATTTTATGTTTATTGTTTTATGAATGTTATGCTTATACAGTTGTCAGCAGAGTTATTGTTAATGCATTCAAGGGAAGATCTATCTAGGATCAAAATGTTATTAATAAAAGATTTATTTGTGTCAGTGAGTAAGTGTGCAGGCTTTACCGTTTTGTCATGCGGCCTTTATCTGACAGCCTTGCACCTGAGTGAAGTGCGTATCACCATTTTCCTTCTACTAATGCATCCAAGGGACCTCAGACCTCTGAAACTTTAGAGTCAGTTGTTCCACACCAGATATTTTAATCCTAAAATGTACCTATTTCACTGTATCAGTATGCAAATCGCTTGTGTTCTTTTGCCCTCTGGGCGTCGTGTCTGTTTTCCACCATTTCTTTTGGTTGTCAGAACAATTTTAAATACAACCACTACCTTTCTGCTGATTTACCATGCAAACAAAATAATGAGTAATGAAGGGAAATAATTGAATTAATAGAACTAAAATGTAAATATTCACTGTAATTTGCAAGTCTGCAAGTAGATTTATATAAAGCTGTGAAATTAATGGAAACCGATGATTGCAAATCAATGTAGAAACTATGCCATGATTTAGAAAATGGTCCCCTGATGTGTAATTATAGAGCTAATGCAACATGCAAAACCACCAGTGTAATATGCTCCTTTATGTGTATAAGTGATAATAACATCCAATATTCTCTGTGTCTCGTCTGTAGGAACACCCATATATTTTCACCCGGCCGCTTTTGGTCAAGTCAGGCCAGTCTCAACTGCAGTCTAATGCTCGATCACAGGCAGCCGTCTACCTGCTGATCTCGCTCCTTATGGGTTTGGGATGTCTTGGACTGTAGCTTTCCCTCTGTTGGACTACTATACAAGCATGTCACTGCTACATCGGTTACTGTTGAGGTAATACAGCAGATCATCTGCAGAGGAGAGTTTGTGAGCCATTCTTTCCAACTTTGCATGTCTGTGACCCCAAATAGCCGCGTAGAGGAAATGACTGTGGTCATCTGATTGGATCTGAAAACCCCACTGATAATGTGACAGTGACTCCTGCAACAAAATATTTTATTTCTAGGCAGTTGCAGGTGGAGGTGGTGAGCAGCTTTCTCTGCATGAAACAACTGCTGCTCTTAGCAGAAAGTTTTATATTTTGCTGTACAATTTGAAATTCTCATCCTTGGACCAAGATGACTGACCAGTTCTGACCACACAACGACTGTGGGGATGGGACAATCATCTACGTTTCTCCACATTTGTAATCAAAATAATATACTGTAGGTGTATTTTTAAGGAAAAGTGCCAAGTGCTGCTTTAACTTAACTGACGATTTTGTAACTAGCTAGGCATGAAGTAACAATTTCTGAATTGTTAATGTGACATTTATACATTCATACATGAGACATTAAACTAATTCGACTTTTCCCAAAACCAAGTGAATGTCTTTCAAATCTGTGATCATGTTTTATTTAACTACTTACATTTCTCTGATATTAACAAAGTGCATTAGGTTCTAGACAATAATAAAAGGTCCAGACATGCATTAGTCACCACATTAAAATTAATTTACCTGAGAGGCCGACTGAGCTTCGATTCTCATTTCCAGCAACATGCGGTGTGCATGCATAGTCACGCAGAGCGACCCGCCTGCCGTAGAGAGCCCTGATCAGCTCACAGGAATAATTTAAAGATGGAACAGAGTTTGTCTTCCATATTACCCACTGTGACTTTTCAAACCAAAGACTGTTTAGTCACACGTCTGCTCCTCAGATCTCCAGGCCGCTGCTGGCCCACTTTCACTTCTTGACCCTTAATAATAAGCTGCATAGCTGCATTATTATGCACTGAGCACTAAAAGAGGGAAAGCAACCCACCAAAGCGAACAAAAACACTGAATATTGTACATACTGCTGGATGCTGAGCAGAAGAATCATTGTTTGCGTGCACACAAACGATGCCCATTCAACATAAGTAGCTGTGGTATATGATCATCCACTACAGGTGAGTTTCCTATTCTTCTGCTGTCTGGTTTAGAGCGTACATTACAGTATGTATTGACTCTGTTTGATTAGTATGATTACAAGGGCAGGTGGAAGCTATATTAAGTGCAGCTCAGGTTACTGACTAAACTATACAGAATGTACTCTGCATGATGGGGTTGAGTTGTACGGGATGGTTTTGTAAAACCTTCAAGGTAAACATGTCTCACTGCACATAATGCAGGCAAATCCTTTTGGACATTGAATGGGAGAGATTCATTTTAATGTGTCTACAGAGTAAAGATTTTTTTATGGAAAAAGACATTAAAACTTGAGTCTAAAAAGAGGCTTTTTTATTTTTTATCACCCCCGAGTTTGTACTTCAGTTAACCATGCACATCTAGGATCTAAAATATATATTTCCCCTGTCCCAATTTTCTACCAATTCTCTTGGATGTTGCAGCGGTCTGAATTTCAATCAGCCCTTGTAGCTGCTGGATTTCATAATGACCTTATTACTGCATTCAAAGAAAAACCCTCTTCATATTTAAACAAAGCCGTTGCCGGTTTATGCGGGACAAATATGGATGACGTAAATTGGCCTTTATTGTCTCTCTGAAAGCATAATGAGATCTTTGGGATCTCAGTGGACGGAGCAGTAGGAAATTTGAAACAGCAAACAGTCCAACCCACACATCGGAAACTCTTTGTCTGCCGTTTTTTTAAGTGAATGTATTAGTAACAAAAGAGGAAATAACCTCATAGGGCTCATGTACATCTGGGGCTCAGTGCTTATGAAGTAAAAGAGAGCAAACAATTTTAGGATGCTCCATAGGTTGGTTGTATGTACAATGAGTCTGTTCCTATATTACATGGAAAGACCTTTATGTAATGACACTGTAAAACAAACAAATTACTGCGAGCCATTAGATAACACTTCATAACAGGTTACAATTTACTGCATGCTCAAAAGTAATGAATAATAATAAAATAATACAGAATCATTCGGTATCGATAGTTTACAGACACTTTTTCTTATTCTACCAAACTTGATGGAGTCCAGTTATACAGTAAAGGGCTTTTCAGATGCAAATACCTACATGTTGCTGTTTGACCCAAGAAAAAAATCAATCTATAGTAATATATAAATAAAGTCACAATTAGATTACTAATGTTGGTGTTAGAAGAAAAGGCAGAGAATTACTAAAAGATTCCTCATCTGGTGACCATGTCTGTACTAAATTGTGTGCCAGTTCATCCAGTAGATGTTGAGATGTTTCACAGAATAGTTAAAATGTTAAACCATTAGAGGAAAATAAATCAATGAACCTTTCATGGCAATGCATTTCAAAGTTGTTGAGATATTTCAATCTGGGCCAAAATGTTGGACCGATGACCAGCAGACCAACATTGCCATCCATCGAGCCGCTAGCATGGCTAAAAACAGCTTCATGTTTCCATGACAACAGGTGCTAGTGGACTGAAATTCTCCTTTCTATGTAGCTGGATTCAATCTAATTCAGTGGCATATTAAATAATAGTGAAATAACATTATTTAATTGAAGATTTCAATTAAAGACTGTTATTTCAGTGTTAACTAATCACATAATGTCATAGTGATCTGATCATTAATGCTGAGCAACAAGAATGAATGATACATTAAGCCATTCATTGCATAACCATGTTTTGTACCCTAAATAGATTTGAATCTATACATCTATAATGGTCCTAACAATGGACTTTCCAGGAGGAATCCACAAATAACATCTTGTAGCTCACTATATCAGATATTATATTTATTAACACACATGTATAAGCTATATTATTAACCTATAACCTACTGTATATCTCATATTATGTCCCAAACAGTTTGCTTCCGTGTTGATCCCATTTCACCACTGATAAGAAAGATGAATGCTGCATTGTCTTGGGTTATGAAATGTGAAAAAGGGCCAGCTGCTCACATGATCAAAGTAGGTGCTGCAACAGCCATGGCAGCAATCATGTTCAATAAACTGTCACCTAGCAACACATTCACGTTGTCAAGAGACATGATCAGCAAATACAGTCTGATGACACCAGCTTTGTCCTCTATGGGAACACAACAGAATGGAGTCAGATACATCAAATCTGTGCTTCTGTTCTCAAAATGTCATCCCTGCTTCAGATTAAAGACACAACTATAGTATGTAGTTTTATAAGTAAGGTGACAGCAGAATAGACCTTTGCAAGTCTTTTGGAAGTCGTTGCCAGGTCAACTGTATAATTAAAGTCAAATGAAATGAAGTAAAAAAAATACTGAAATCTACTCATATGAGTGGAAGACATCACTTCCTTCCTACAGCCTCACTATGAGGTACTCCAAACCTGTGCACGCCCTGACAACCACCGAGGTACGATCAGGTACAATAGTGATCATTTGTCCCAGGATGATGTCACTTCCTTTCTTTACATCGTCCTATAAAAGCCGGTGCGGTTGCGCTGCGGTGAGGTGTTGGTGGAGAGACCGGAGAGAGAGAGGACGGAGAGGCAGCCGGGTTCCGACGCTACAGGAGATTTAGCTCTCCAGAAATACCGAAAGGCGGCTAAGTTTAATTCAGAATGCGTCCGTAATCTAACGACTGTCTCCAAATCAAAACCTTCTGATATAAGCTTCGCTATTTTTTCTATTCCTGGAGAGCTTAATGCGCCTCGTCTCCACAAAAAAAAAAGAAAATGATCGGGAGAGGACTGCTCTTTGTGACCGTACTGTCCAGCTGCGGTAAGGGAATGCTCATTGAAGTTCACTGATGAGATGGTACAGTCTGTTTGTTGAGAGGAAACCTGCTTTAAAAGATGTGAGTGCCGGGTGGGTTTCAGCACCAAGGACAGCGACTAACACAGCTTTAATTGCGGCGGAAGATGGAGTGAATTCACCTGCACCTTTGGCACATCCAGTCCCTTGTTACCTAAAGCCTGTGTGTGTTTTAGTAACAGTGAGAATAACACCAGAGCTTTAGGGATTATAGAAATAGCAGATAATGATGGGGATGATTCATGTTTTTTTTTTTTTTCTTCTTTTCTTGCTTTTCTTGCAGTTCTGTCATTGCCACTGACTCCAAGTCAGCTGGAGAATGAGGACGTAAAGGTAAAGATTTAGTTAGTATTTGCACTGTTTTTTGTATTAATGTGTGAGTGTTATTGTTGTTGCAGTGACAGTGAGTCCAGTCCTTCTACTTGCCACACTCAAAAGGCAAGCAGTGTTTAAAACCAATTAAGTTTACTGGAGTCTCTTCTACACTGGGGATAATCTCAGTTTGACCTTGCTCAAATCAATAGATACCATTCTGGTAGCAATGGAGAGCCTTGACCTCCATCATTTGGTACTGCTGGATCCATTTCACATCTTGGGAGAGAGAGGGTGAGAGAGTGAGAGAGAGGGTGAGAGAGTGAGAGAGTGTGTGTGT